ATCATCCACGCGCGAAATCCAGGTCTTCTAGGTTCTTCACGTCGGTCAGGACAGGATATCCCTGTCTTCTCGTTTCCCACTGTCTGACGACGCATAATCCAGTCCACCACAATTAGGAATATCATTTGTGGTAGTAGGCACCCTTGTCTGACTCCTGTGTTTACTCCAAACGCTTCGCTGAGTTTTCCGTTGTGGATGACTTGACATGTGCCGTTGTCGTACGGCTGTTGAATAAGGTTGATGAATATTTGGGGTGCGCCGTAGTACTCGAGTGGTTTCCAAATTACTTCGCGGTCAACGCTGTCGAATGCCTTCTCAAAGTCTATAAAGTTGAGATAGAGGTTTGATTGCCATTCCATGCTTTGTTCGATGATGATACTTTTATGCAATTGTAATGCAGGAACTAATTCTTCTAAACTTATGAAAAGAAAACAGTGAAAAAAATTAACTTGTCACATAATTTCATGTGTTTTGTGGAGTAATATCTTCGGTGATAATTCGGTTAGATGCTAAGTGGTGTTAGGTAAGAAGGGAAAGTCAATCATTGAATCTGTCAGACTCTATTGATTTAAAGGTCTAGGACATGTTCCATACCTTCCAGGCAATTGCCTTTGTTGACGAGCAATTCTAGTGGTGGGAACAGAACTAGATTTGTAGAGATTTATGAAAACATGATACTAGTTTATGAAGTCTTCGACTGTTGGTTTGTGGAAAGTAGGGAGTTAGACACTATCTTACTAAAGTCCTTGAGACAGTAAGCATCAGTGATTGAAATTTGTTAATGACATATCTTAAGATCGTCCCGACTGACGTAGATGCTAACACTTCTTGTCACCTTACAGATTCATTGAACTGTTATTATTGATACTATTAATAATAATGATTTACTTTATTTCAAAACAGTACTCATAATACAGTATAGAATTCTCAACATTTGGTACAGTACTGCATCTAATTCACTCAACAACAACAACAGAATATATTAAAGGGTATAGGTAACTAAAATTTATGTCAGTGATTTCTTGGCAACAGCACTGACAATAAATTCAGAAATGTACAAAAAGTATAACATGATAATAATAAATAATATTAATAACTAAAATGACAAGATAATGGAAATAGTGTCACCATAAATCAGGTTCAAAGAGCCATTTATTTTACCAGTTACATAGTTAATTATAATTTTGATTCTCAACAGTTTCGCTGTCATATAAACGCCTACCAAATAGGGTATCGTTGAGTTTGAGTACTTAGTTGTGCAAACATATGTTCTTGCATAATGATTTCTAGTTCCTCAAGACGAGATGTAAGCGGAGAATTGTGAATAAAGGTGATGCTGAGAGTCAGGCAACGTGGATTTAGACCATTTCTTGCATGAGTTCAGATATCTGGTTGGAGGGTTTCATCATGAGTTGACATCAATACAGAAGCATTGGAAAACCTGGGAGTACTGGACAGATGTTTCGTCCTAGTTTGGGACTCTTCACAGTACGCACCCACCATTGAGAGTTCGAACTCAGGACCTTCTGATTACAAGATGACCTAGCTCGTAGTCCATTAAGCCACTGGGATCCGATTCACTGGCGTACTAGGACGAAACAGCTGTTCAGTACTCCCAACTGGTTTTCCAATGGTTCTCTAACCGATGTCAGCTCATGACCAATCAAACACAATCCCTACAAAACCAATACTGGAAAGTTCACATGTCTGTTGACTATAGGAGTAACGAGCTGACTTAGGGGTACACCACTTCCACAACTGACAACTTTTATTACCCTTGACAATATGAAAAAGTCCTTTTTGAGTGGCCTAGGAAAGACTAAAGGCAGGTGGAGGAGCAGTAATGAATCATAAGTAAGGTGAGAGAGTTAACACAGTGTTATAGTAGAGGTTTAGTGATACCTGGCTGTCTTAACTTCCTAACTTTGTAAGATTCATAGGAAAATAGGAAAGAATCATTCCAGGGTATTTAATGCTTGATTTAGTTTGTATTTCATTGCTGTCTATTTTACCGGCGTCTTGTGAACAAACAAGTTCGTGTGAATCACATATATGCTTGAAAATTAAATTAACTATCTGACATTTAAAAAGGGTTTATCGTAATAGCATTTAACTTAGACCACTGGCTGATATCCAACAAAGAGAGCTGTTCATTTCAGAACAGTGACATTAAGACGTAACTCATCTAACTATGCCTCCCCTTTTATATTAATGTCTGTTGTAGTTTCTCTGCATTTCTTTCCTTTATTTTAGTATGTGTGTATTATTGCAGAGTTTGGTGATTTAAATCGCTGCAAAATTAGATGTTAATATTTCAAACAAGTCAATTCACATATTAGTTTTTAAGTCCTGTAATGTCCGGCTGTCGACCAAAGGCCGTGTGTACTGCTCAGCAACAGTTCACTCCGTCCTCCTTAATGGCTGTGAGTGAGCCATGGCCATTGAAAGTAGAAGACATGAAAAGCCTGTCTAGCTGTATTTGATCATAGGTGCCTGCCTTCTATCTCCCTTGTGAAGTGGTATTATATGGTAGGCAGTATTGAGGTTGGGCACTGAGTGCTAGGTAAGCAGGGAAAATCAATCGATGAGGTTGTTAAGTTAAATTGATTGAGATGGTTAGGAAATGCGTTACGCATGCAGGTTGGGGAAATGAAATCCACAACAGTTAGTTTCAGCCTGTCACCTAGGCAGATGCAGACTTCCTGGTTGGTGTCCTCGGGTTAGTAAAGACCAGTGACTGGAGACAATTGGTGATGTGGCTCAAAATCGTTCTCAATGATGACGCAGATGCATTCACTCTTTATGACCTGTCATATCCAATAAAACTCTTCTATTGTTTTCCATATTCCTGTTCTTTTTCCCTCAAACTTCTGTTTATTATCTCTTTTGAATGTCTGTTCAATCTCTTCTCTTGCTTTGTTTACTACAGAGAGGATATGTGGCAACTAGAACTGCTGCACATCTGGGCAAAGTTATGTGTTAAAACCAGGCAGTCATTCAGTCAGTCAGTCTCAGTTGCTTGTTCTTTTCTGTCTAATGTCCTGATGAGTATTTTCCACAGTTTTGTCTCTGTACCCATGTTTTTCTCGCTTGAAATTTATCATTCGACTTTACACCGGCATTTAAATCTTAAAATAATCAATTGAATCCGTAGTTTACTTACTGTACTAAGAGGCAATGAATATTTTTGGAGATGTACTAAATGTCCATGGTAAACACGATTTTTTGAAATGGCCACACAAGGTGATATAATGAAATAATCATGCTAATAATACTGTGTAATTTAGCGATATATGCTCAAACTATCTGTAATTCACTAACTCATATGACTTATACTCTGTCCTCAGACGTTGATATATTTTGCAACAGCCAAAACTGACTGGCTGCGGTCTGGACGCAGGAAATCGGCCTCTGCGTCCTACTGCATAGCTGACCAAAACTTCAGTTAGACACAAAGAGTCAGAAAACTCTCCAAAAGACAGCAAAATGACGATTGCCCATCGATAGATCTATCATCAACAATAATAACCTCGAAAATTCAAAATCACCTCAAATGTGTCGTTAAGCAACTATGCATACAAGACAAATTTCTAAGTACAAAACAAGTACTGTACAACAGAGTTAATTAACCAAAGTTCAACTGTATGCAGTATCTGAGAATCAAGTAAAATATCCCCAACAGGGCGGGATCGAAATTCTGCCTATAAGAATCACACACATCAAACAATTCCCGATGACAGTTTCAGTTCAGAATGACTCTGACTCACTCCAACAAACTCATGCCGTAAAAAATCACATTATCACCACACAACCAAATAGTGAAGCGTTAAAATTGAAGATTAAACAATGATAAAGAAAAGTAGTAAGGATCAGACTAAAACATGATATGCAAACATCATAACAATGATATACAGTCGAGGAGTGAAGTGGTAGAGCACGTTGACCGCTTCACTTACTTGGGAAGTACCATCAGCCAACGCCGATGGGTTGGTCTCTGACGAAATCTCAGCACGAATACAGAGGGATAGTTTCGCATATGCCAGTTTACGCCGTGTCTGGCGCAGAAGTGATATCCGACTATCGACCAAAGGGTTTGTGTACTGCTCAGCAGTCCGCTCCGTCCTCCTTTATGGCTGTAAGACCTGGCCATTGATAGCGGAAGACATGAAAAAATCAGCTGTCTTTGATCATGGTTGCCTGCGTTCAATCTCCCGTGTGAAGTGGTATAATAAGGTGAGCAATATTGAGGTTAGGCATCGGTCGAGTGCTAGGTAAGGAGGGAAAATCAATCAACGAGGCTGTGAAATTACATTGACTGAGATGGTTAGGACATGTGTTACGTAAGCCTAGTCATCGCCTTCTTCGACGGGCAATGTTAGCTGATATAGGGTCAGGATGGAGAAGAGCTAGCGGCGGTCAAACCAAAACATGGCTACACAAGTCAATGAAATCTACAACAGTTAGTCTAAGCCACGTAGGAAGGTGTAGACTTCCTGGTTGGGGTCCTTGGGACAGTAAAAACCAATGGTTGGAAACAATTGGTGGCATAGCTCAAAATCGTCCTTAGTGGCTGGCGCAAATGCATCCACTCCTTGTGACTTATGATTTTCAATTAAACTGTTTTGTTCTTCGTTATTACTATTACTTTGTCTCACACCTCTGTTTACTGTCTCTATTATGCATTTCTCCTACTTTCTTCTCTTGCTTTGTGTGCTACATGGAGGGAGTGTGGCGACTTGAACTGCCGCACATCAGTGCAAAGTTCTATGTCGAAAACAGACAGACAGTCGAGGAGGATAACGGATCATAAATACAAAGTTGGTGGAAACATCCAAATAAGTATAAATATTGTGATTAGATCATTCACGAGGGAATTTTCCAAACAATTAGTCCGTTATACATTTACCATAGGTCTTCTGCCTTGTATTTGCATCACGTAAGTATAAAGTGCAAATAACATACACACTAAATCAAAACTTTGTATTGCTTTTGTTTTTTAGATAACATTACAGACGATTACCTCCATAAAGAACTCGATTTATTATCACATCGTAAAATGAAAGATGTCCGACTGCCATACACTGTACTTCCACGATTTTATGACTTAAAACTTCAAGTTCATTTGCACGAAGAGAAGACAGCAGACTTCTTTTTTAATGGATCAGTTAGCATTCAAGTTTATTGCTCAATTTCTACTCAAGAATTTTTCGTACATGCTCATGAAAGTTTAACTATCAGTTTAAATGAAATCAGTGTAAGTGAAATTTTATTGTATATTATTTATGCATCAGTCAAATTTATGAATCTTAACTTTTCGTTTTAAAAGCTAATCAATGCAGAATATTTCGTTCAGCGTTTTTCTAAGACACTTCTAGTACAAAATGCACGAAAGTTACCAGCCTAATTACCACTATAAATCGATAATGAAGTATCCTGTGGGACGACGGTATTTTGCCAAGTGACATTGGATCAACTTGTGAATTATCAAGCGGACTTATAAAAATCCCGCGCTTACAGAGTGATTTCCGTTGCAGTGATAGAATAACTTATTGAAAAATCTCTTATACTGTTTGAAATGAACTGGAGCAATCAAACAGGATTCTATTTTCGCTTTATATAGTGTTATTACCTAAGAGAGTAAACATGTAGTAAGTTAGAAATGGACGTTTAAGTACTCAGTGAGAAATAAAGGATTGCATGGAGGATTTCATCATGAGCTGACATCAGATAAAGAACCACTGGAAAACTTGGGAGTACTGGACAGCTGTTTCATCCTAGTTTGGGACTCTTCAGCAAAACGCAACCATCGGAATTCGAACCCAGGACCTTCTGGTGTAACAACACAAGACAAGGGCGAGGCAGCAGAACGTTTATTACGGAAAATCAACACATATTTATAGATTTTAATGTACATTATTGTAGGTTAATGTTAGTAGAAAATACAGTCTGTTGATTGGTTGTTCCTCACACAAAGTTAACCTTGCATCTCTTGTGGCTGTGTCAGTTCATCTATATGTTAACTGTATCCGCCTGTCCATCTTGACCTTGTTTTCACATGACTAACATTGACCTCAATTACTGTCAGCCAGTTTGGCTAGCAACCAACTGTGCATCGGTGGCAGGCACGGTATTAGATAAACTAAATTGTCTTGTTTTACAGGTTCCACAGGATCGTTTAATTGACAAAGCTTGTTTCTCATTGAGTTTGTGGCTGGTTTGAATGCCAGCCACTTTTATTCCTGCCTTGTTAAGAATTGTACTACCCCTATGACGACAAATAGGAGAGAACAAAGAAAACCGTAAAACTCAAATTTCAAAGTTGTGTGATTATAATTGATGAAATGATTATGACAAATAATAAATTGTTTTCGAAACCTCATCATCCAGTAAATAATACTGTTTCACTGACTGTGTGATACATCTAATAAACAAACTAATATGGAATTACTTACTACCACAGTGCCCAATTTTTACACATATATTGACTGAAACGTAATTTGGAAACTCCTTTAAAAACTACGGACTGAGATGCGGTATGTTTCTATAAACCTTAATCAACAGCTGTACGATGACATCATATGTCGAATGATCCACAACGGAAAACTTAAAGAAGCCTTTGAAGTGAATACACGAGTAAGAGATTGCTTTTTAGTATTACTGATGATATTCCTAATTGTCGTGGACTAGATCATGCGGATCACACATACATCGGGAGTGAGAAGATAGAAATACGTTGAATTGACGGGAAAACTCTAGAAGACTTAGACTTCTTTTACGACTTATGTCTAATGTCAAATAAACCAGAAGACTTGCAGGCAAAAACTAAGAGGTTTGCAGAAAAAGCGGTAAACGCAGAACTTCAAATGAACATAGAGAAGACAGAAGCGATGAATATACGTAACCAACACCACTACAAGCAGCAAGCATCAGTCAGTATCAATGCGATAGGAAATTAGCTTCTTTCACTCATATAGGCAGCATTGTTTCAACTTTAGTCAGCACAGATAAGGCAATGAAAGTCGATTAGAAGCGAAAAAGTAGGACAGGTGTTCATTAATCCGAAATCCATGTGATGGAAATCGAATGTACTCAGCATAATGAACAAGATCCAAATTTTCAGCACTAATGTCAAGTTAGTTCTTTTATATTGTACAGAGAAATGAAGCAGAATTCATGAAAAGCATTTCCACCCTGTTGTAGACCTCCATCCATTGTGGCTTTCTGCGGATGCTGAAGATTAGATAGCTCACAGGAATCGATTAGGAGGTAACACGGAACTCTGACAACGAACCGGTCAAGAAGCTATCTGACAAGCCGAAAGAAATGAAGATAGAGTTGTCACACTCTGAGAAGGCCGTGGAGTGAAACCTGAATGAGAAGCGATGCGATGGGCGTCTATTGGTGGCATGGAAGATACCGTGTGAAGAGGAAATATAAGCCTATGCGCAGTCGTAGAAGCAACTAAAAAGAACTTCAGACAGCAAGATGAGATCGAGGTGGGCTGCTGAAGTCCTATGTTCCACTTGGAATGCAAAGGAGTAGTAGTAACTACATCTAAAAACGTTTATTTATACACACATACACACAGTTTCAGGTTATTTCAGTAGTACAGTGTGTACGTGAAAGATCTGCATGTACTTCTTGTAAATCGAAAGTAAATCAAACAGCCTAAAGACAAGTTCAGTAATGAATAAATTACAAAAATCAATAAAATTGGATAGTAAGTCTTGAATGTAGTAGAACACAGCTGTCCACCTACAGAAAAATTCGACAAATAACCCTGAACAGGTAAATGTTCTGTTTTGTTTTGTTTGGGTTTTTTTTTTCAACGGAGAATGAAGATAAAAAATTATTATTGTCATAAAATACGTAGGCCTTCAATGCAATCTATTTCGAAAAGTTTAAACAGCATTCAAATGTTTCCTTTTTCTCAGCTAAATTCACATATGTGGTTAATTTTAGAAATTCAAGATGTTTAACTTTTTCAATGTTCAATGTGGGAACAGAATTGAACATATATACAACTAAATATACATTAAAAAGACGGTTGCAGCGAAGCAAATTTTTTTTTCGACAAAGTAATCAACTAGGCTGTACATTCATGTATTTATGACAAATAGGTGGGAAAGTTCCAGAATAATTTCCGGTCAAGGCTCAAATTAAAAAAAATTACAATTAGAAATTAAAATGGCATAATAAACAAAGGGGGGGACGGATAAAACTCAAACAAATTATTGAGAAGATTGACATATTGTGCAATTAGGGGTTAGAAATGTAGAAATAACAAAATAGACAGAAAGTTCGGATATGAAAATAGGGTAGTGTAAATAGGGATTAATAAAAACTTAAAAATAACATGAATGAACAGGAAGCTTGGTTAAGAAAGTCAATGGGATAGTCACTATTAGAGGAATTACCTGTTTGTGATGGCAATGGTAGGGTGGGTTTAAGCTTTTGGATGGCCAGTGCCTCGACTGTGCCAAGATGTCTGAATTTTACTCCCTTTAATAGGTTTGATATAGTCTTGTATATTACTTTGAAGGATTTTTCGAATGGCGCTGAATGTCCTGAATTGACCAGATGTTCTGTCACTGAACTGTATACACGTTTTCGATTTCCTTTAACTAGCCAGGCTGGATAGAGTTTATGAGCGCGTTTTTCAAGTACATCCTAGTTGATGACTTCGTCGAAAAGAAAATTTTCTTCGCTGCAACCATCTTTTTAATAATTCCAATGATCCAGTGTGTATATTCCGTAATATATAATATATGTCATGGAATCACTTGTTCCTGTGATATCACAGCCTGCAGTTACATTAATCCTGCAGTTTTGTTTAAAGTTCCAAGTATTGGTTTTGTAGGGATTTTGTTTGATTGCATAGAGGATTTCATCATGAGATGACATCAGTTAGAGAACCACTGGGGAACCTGGAAGTACTAAACAGCTGTTTCGTCCCTGTATGGGACTCTTCAGAAGTACCCAGCCACTGGGGTTTGAACCCAGGTTACAAGGCGAGCTTATAGAACATTGAGCCACACGGACCCGATCCAATGGCTATGTCGTGAATTGGTGGAAGTTAGGATCCAAGGACCATTGGATCGAGTCCCAGTGCCTCAATGATCCATGAGCTCGCCTTGTACCCAGAAGGTCCCCGGTTCGAACCTCGATGAGTGCGTACTGGCGAAGAGTCTCAAACAAGAACGAAACAGCTGTCCAGTACTCCCACGTTGTTTAAAGTCAAATATTAATAACAGAATGATAAAAATAGGATTAACCACTGTTGTTGTGAATAACCGTTATTGGTAATACAAATAGGGTAGAGTTTATTCAATTAATGAATATTCAAGAAGCCAGAAAATCACATGGTCACATTTGTAAAAATGAGAACAAATTACTGTTTTAAGAAATAGAAAATTTAATAGACATTAGGTACTGTAACAACCAAAACTAACTCATTCTGGTCTGAACGCAGGGAACCGGCCTCTGCTTCCTACTGTTAGCTGACCAAAACCTCATGAAGACACGCACAGTCACGAAACTCTCCAAAAGACAGCAAAATGACGATCGTGCGTCCATAGATCTATCATCAACAATAATAACATCGAAAATTTGAAAATCACCTCAACGGTGTCGTCAAGCAACTATGCAGACAAGACAAATTCACAATTACAAAACAAGTACTGCACAACAACAAAATTAATTAACGAAAGTTCACCTGTGAAAAGTACCTTAGAACCAAGGAGTATATTCCCAGTGAGGTGGAGAAAAAAGTTCTCTCCACAAGAATCACACACATCAAACAATTCCCGATGAGAGTTGAAATTCAGATCGACCTTGACTCACTCAAACAACCTCACAGCATGAAACATCCTATTATCGACATCATCACACAAGAACAGAGAGAATCACTTAAATTATAGATTAAACAATGACAAAGAAAAGCAGTAAGGATCAAATTAGCATATGATGTACAATCGTCAGAACAATGATATACAGTCGAGGAGGATAACGGAGAATAATCACGAAGTTGGTTATTATTATTATTGTATCCTTTAATTCCTAGAGGAACATAGGGCTTCAGCCATGCGTCTCCATTGCGTTCGGTACTCTGCTAGAGTCTTCACCTGGCTCCATGTCTGTCCACACGTTTTCATCTCCTCTTCACATGACCTCCTCCAAGTCACTTTTGCACTGACGACCAACTCGCCGCTTCCCTTTCAGGTTCCACCCAAGCAATGGCTTGTCTAGTGATGT